CAACCAAGTTGTCAGATTCCCACACGACAGTGGACTTTGAAGATCTACATGGTGAGCAAATATACAATCACAGGCAACTAGCAAGAATCAGTGGCACCTCTGTACTGGTTTGGGCTCACCACCATCCAGTCTTATCCAAGAGTTGGGCAGCACTCTCCACATACTGCTGCCGCTCTATGTGTCTAGGGCTTGGTTCATGGATGTTTATGAGTGGTGGCTATTGAAAAAGAGACTGTGACCATTGTGAAGGCAAGATGAGCTTGGCAGTCTCTGGATTGGCTGTCAGTTGGTGATAGAGGAGAAAAGTGCAGACTCTGACAGAAGGCCTGCTGACTCTGTACTAACAAGCCTTATTGCGTTACTTGTTCCTATCCTGTGCTCAGTGGTCTTGGTCCCTAAGCTCTGGCCTAGTGCATATATCCCATCCTCTCCTAGCCCTAGGCCCCATCATCTGCGGTTAGAGAATGGAGTTGGTCTCTTTCTCTCTCTGTATTCTCATTCTAATTGTTATGTCATAAACTTTATTTTATTATTTATTATTTTAGGGGGGACTGGACTTTGAACTCAGGGCTCGTGCTTCCAAAGCAGGCATTCCATGGCTTGAACCACACCTCCAGTCCATTTTTCTTTTGTTATTTTGGAGATAGGGCTTGCAAACTACTTGCCTGGGGTGGCTTCAAAACTCTATCTTCCCAATCTCAGCCTCCTTAAGTAGCAAGGATTACAGGAGTGAGCCCCTGGCACCCAGCTGTCATAAACTTCAATACTAACGTCTCTAGAGCCTTCCCTTTTAATTCTTCAGGCCAGAACCATACTTTTTCTCTCTTTGTATTTGTACAACAGATTCTAATTCTCTTAGAAGCTACTAGAGGGTCAGACGGATGAGAAATTGGTCCTAACCCTAGCTCTACCGCTGTACAACACTGGTGAAATGACACATGCTTAGTGCTCAATTTCTTCTTCTGTAAAACAGGCAGACCACATTACCTAAGTCATGGGGTCTTGGGCATGTAAATGAGATAATGTGTACAAAGTGCTAAATATAGTGGTGTGTTGGACACAAGGGAAAAGCTCGATTTAAAAGACTAACCAGGCACAAAAAAACCAAAGACACAAAAGCCTGGAGTTTAAAGACAAAATTTATTAAAAGACTTCAGTTAGTCAATTCCTTCCCCAAAACTAGACTCAATCTTCAATTCACTTTTTAAACATTTACTAAATTATTAACACTACTTTGAAATGCTATCTTCTTTTTTCTCTATCCTGTGACCTCTGACATGAGGTCATGACATGATGTCACAATTCAGCCCCTGCTCCAACTTTGTGAGACTTTCCTGAGCTGGTTGTTGAGCTCCCCCATCTTTTGCATTTGAGAGGTCTCTGGGAGGTGTCTGGTCTCAGCTATCTGAGCACACTGAGGTAGGATTGCCATGCATTTTGCTCTTGGTTTTATTCCTTTGGCTAAATATGAATAACAACAAACATTGGTGAATGGCTTTGGAGATTCTTCTTCCCTCTTTTGAGGGAAGTATGTTTTAGTTTTGGTATCTGTTCCAAAACTAGAAATGGTATTTCCATTTCTCTTCTGTGACAATCAGGATTTGTAGTACAGAAAATTAGCAGTGATTGTTGGTATTTCAAGTTTTCTCTCTGTGGCAGCCAGGTAAGTTATGGCTTACATAATTTGCAGATCCCAGGGCAAAATAAAAATGCAGAGGTTTTTTTTTTTTGTAAATTTAAAAAAATTTCAAGATGACAACAGCACAGTATCAAGAGCCCTTGTAGGTCTGGGGCCCTTCCAAGCACAGGGCCCTGTATGACCACACAGGTTGCTGGCCTGTGAAGCCAGACCTGCCTGAAGGCAGGTGGATAGGGCTTTAGAATCCTGGAGGCTTGGGTTAGACCCATAGCTTTGCAAGTCATGTCTTTTGAGGAGGAAATATAGGGGGAGGAAGAAACAGGAACATACTAGATCATTAGAGACACATTAGTTTTTTGGTTCCCAGGAGGAGGAACCAACATCCTTCTATTCCATTTTAACGCGGAGAACAGTCCCCCCAAATTTGATATGTAATTCACACATAATAAAATTAACCCTTTAAAAGTACACAATCCAATGGTGTCTAGAACACTCACAAAGTTATGCAACTATCCCTACTCTTAAATTCCACAACATTTTCATCCTTGCAAAAAATACCTATCAGTGCCAGGCACTAGTGGCTCATGCCTGTAATCCTAGCAATTCAGGAGGCAGAGATTAGGAGGATCAAGGTTCAAAGCCAGCTTGGGCAAATGGTTCTTGAGACCCTATTTCAAAAAAACCCATCACAAAAAAGGGGCTGGTGGAGTGGCTCAAGGTGTAGGCGCTAAGTTCAAACCCCAGCACTGCCAAAAAAACCCCTAATTTCCCATTCCCTCTGCTTCAGCCCCTGGCAACCATTAGTTTACTTTTTGTCTCTGTGGATTTGCTTATTCTGGACATTTGATATAAATGGAAAAACATGACACGTGATCTTTTGTGTCTGACTTCTTTCACTTGGTGTAGTGTTTTCAAGGTTCATTCATGTTGAAGCATGTATCAGTACTTCCTTTTTTGCTGTTGAAAATATTTCATTGCTGGATATACCATATTCTTTTTATCCATTCATTCATTGATGGAGGTTTGGGTTGTTGTTTCCCCTTTTTTGACTCTCCTGGATGTGAATTTTTTTTTTTTGACAGTACTGGGGTTTGAACTCAGGAACTTGTGCTTGCTAGGTGCACACTCAACCACTTGAGCAATGCCTCCAATACAGTCCTTGTGAATATTGTTGCTGAGAACACTCATGTAACAAGTTTTAGTGCAAGCATGCATTTTTTTCAATTCTCTTGAGTATATACCTAGAAATAGAATTACTGAATGTTACTGTAACTCTACTTTTAACTTTTTGAGGACCTGCCAAACTATTCCAAAATGGCTGTACATTTTACATTCCAATCAGCAGTGTAGGAAGGTTCCAATTTCTCTACATCCTCACCATTTTTTTTTTTTTTTTTTTAGTACTAAAGACTGAACTCAGGGCCTCACGCTTGCTGGGCAAGCACTCTACCACTTGAGTCATGTCCCCAGTCCTTTTGCTTTTAGTTTTGTTTTCCAGATAGGGTCTCATGCTTTTGCCTGGGATGTCCTCACATATCGATCCTCCTACCTTCAGCTAACCAAGTAGCTGAGGTCACACAGGCGTGCATCACCACGCATCCTCCCAAGGTTTTTATGTTGGGAGGGTACAGTGTATTGCTATGTACCCCAAGCTGGCCTCCAATTCATGATCCTCCTGCCTCAGATTCCTGATTTGCTGGCATTAGAGGCATGCACCACCACACCCTACTCTTCACCTGTTCTCGTTATTATCTGTGTTATTACATCCATACTAGTGGGTGTGAAGTGGTTTCTGTTTGTGGTCTTGATTTGCATTTCCCTGAAAACTATTGATGTTGAGCATCTTTTCATGTGCTTACTGACCATCTACATATTTCTTTGGGGAACCATTTAATTAGATCTTTTGCCCATTTCCCCCCCAAATATTGACAGACATTATTGTAGGGGATTCCTACTTGGAACCACACCCTCTTAATCCTTTGCCCATTTGTAATGGTGTTGTCTGTTTGTTGTTGAGTTGCAAGAGTTCTTTATATAATTTTGGTACTATATCTTTATTATATATATATGATTTACAAATATTTTCTGTTGCTGTGTGTTTTTTCACTTTGCTTGAGGGGGGTGGCACTGGGATTTGAACTCAGAGTTTCTCACTTCAAGGCAGGTGTTGAGCCACACCTCCAGCCCAAAATGAATTTTGGGATTTTTCTTAGTGGCACTGGGGTTTGAACTCATAGTCTTGGGCTTCTTAGGCAGATGCACTGCCACCTGAGCCATGTCTCCAGCCCTTCTTTTACTTTGGTGATAGTAGCGTCCTCTGAAGCGTAAGTTTTTAATTTTGGTAAATCTAATTTATTTTTTGGTTTGTTGCTTGTGCTTTTGTTGTCATCTCTAAGAAACTATTGCCTAATCCAAGTACATGAAGATTTACTCTTGCATTTTCTTCTAAGAGTTTTATACTTTTAGTTCTCAAATTTAGATTCATTTTACTTAATTTTTGTATTTTAGTGTGAGTTGGGGGGGCACATATTTTAATTCCGGCTCAGTACCTCAATAATCATGTGACTTTTGGTAACTTCTTGAAACTAAATCTCAGTTTCTTCCTTTGTAAAGTGAGACTAACAAATGGTACCTAAATCATAGAGTTTTAGTGCAGATAGAAAATACACATAAAGCACTTTGGATGGCACTTGAAACAGCCAACTACTGTTGGCTGTAAATGTGGTAGTTACTACTGTTATAATATGAACGAGTTAGTGGCGGTGCTAGAAAGATATGCAGCATTTCTGACAAGGTAATGGGGTTGGGGAGAGAAGGCTTGCTTAGCACACCTGGAGGAACAGGTCTGGGATGGTTAAGAAAGTCTCTGCCCCGCCTCATGTTCACCTCTAGGAATTGGTAAAAATTCTAATTCCCGGGTCCCATCCAGAACTGCTGAAAGGATCCCCTGAGCACAGAACCTGCATTTGTATCAAATTCTTAAATGCCACAATGTACCCCCACTCAGCACAACAATAAAATAAATAATAATAATTAAAAAAAACAAGCATACAATGTTAAGCTAGCCGGGCAGCGGTAGGTTGGTAGTGGCCGCGCCCGTAGTGCCGCCTATGGCCTGCAGAGGGCGCCCAGGGACACGAGCGGCCACGGCAACTGCGCAGAGACCGCGGCCGCCCTGCTGTATCCGCCCCTCTCAGCTGACAGATCTAGAAACGGAAGAGGCGGTGCGCGGAGTGAGCCGGGCGTCTCTAGGCCTGGCTGGCGAGTGGTGGTGCAGGGAACCCCCCCCCCCTCCGGGCAAAGGCGGAGAGCGGAACTTTTGGGCTTGGCACAACGGGGCGGCCGGAAGGTACGGTGGGGACCAAGCTCTGGGCACGCGAGGCAGGGAAGGGCGGCGGGCCCGGGCCAGCTCCGTGGACCTCAGGCTTCCAAACGCGGGACGGGGCGGCCCGGCCCAGACCCGTCCCGTGCGCTCCGGAGGAAGAGAGAGGGCGGTCCACGCCCTGCCCCTTCGGGACGCGCGGGGCGGCCTCTGCTCCCAGCGCCGGGTCCGGTACGGTTGGCTGGGCCTGGCCCGGGTGTGGACGGGTCGCACAGACACCCCCGCATGCCGAGTGGCAGGCGGTCGAGGCCCGCGGAGGCGAGCGGAGCCCGGCCAGCGTTGACCCCCGCGGAGTCCGCACCCCGGGGCGGGGAAGAAGTAGGATTTTCCCAGGCGGTGGGAAACCCGGCGGAGGAGGGGCTTCCGGTTTGCAGCAACTAATGTTAAACGTGAACCTTTCTTATCTGGTCGTGCCGGGGTCTCTTCTTGTTCCTGGATTACGGATGAAGAAGCCACGGGTTGTGAATCCAGGTTTAGTTATACCTTAGCTGTGTGTGACCTTGGGCTAGAAAGGGACTTAAGCTGTCATTTTTCTCACTCGTATAATGAAGACAGTAATAGGATTTGCTTCGTGTGGTTGTGGGAATCTAGCCTCAGATTGTGCATTGAAAGGGTTTAGCATAATGCCTGACACTCGGTGAGAGCTCACTAATTGTTACTGTTCTTAATGTTACTGTGGCGACCGACCTAACTTCCTGCTTCTAGTGTAATGTGGCAGAATGATCACTGAACACTTGCTCGTGATTTCCCCATTCCAGCACACCGCATTTCACCCTAATTCAGTTAGTTTTTCCTGTGTCTAATGCACGGTACCCCTAGATGCTGATAACAGTACACAGATAGAAAAAACTTGGTCCTCATCCTTGAGAGCCTAATGTAGGCTGGTGGGAGAAGAGGTGCGCGTTCATAAACTACTGTAATGCAAGGTGTGGTAGGAGAGTTACAGTTTGGCCCGACTTTAAAGACAGTATTTAATAAATAAGAAAGTGCTGCCTGGAGTAGGGGCTTTGGTGGTGTGTCTCAGAGGCTGCTGAGTGGATGGAATGAGAAAGAAACGGAGGGTAGCGACCTGAATTAAGGGCGATTTGGGCCCATTGGCAGCTTCAGAAGCTGAGATCTGGTGGGGGTGGGTCATGAGGAACTGTTTAAGAGAGATTGATTAGAGTAGAGGTTGTCAGCCCTGGCTGCACATTAATTAGAATCATCTGGAGAGCTTGGAACCCTAGAGGCCTGATTTAATTGTTTTGGGGTGTGTCCTCGGGTACTAGTATTTTAAGAGGCAGCTCCTGTGGATTCCAACGTGCAGACAAGATGGAGATTGCTAACCTAAAACCGTAAACTGTAAAGTCGTCTCTCATACTATCTGTAAATGTTTTAACAGAAAGAAACAAAAGGCTTAATCCTATTATTACCATGTACTATCTACTACCTGGTGAAATTGCTGAAGATTCAGTAGGGCAAAAGGACCTAATAAGTTAAACAGTAGGTGCTCAATAAATGCAAATTGAATATTAGCTTCATATTAGTATTAGCTTATTTGAGTCACACATCTGAGAATTTGGTTTAAAATTTAAGATTTAATACAATATTTTTGCATATAATTTCAAGGTGTTAATTGCTCTCCATTATCCATGCATAGACCACACTTCTCATGAATCCATTTTAGAAACCTTAGAAGCTTTAGAGACAAAAGCTTTTAGAATAAAACTTCAAAATCTGTGTGTTTATGTGTGTTCTTTTTTTGTTTTAAAACATCCTGCCATCAGAATTAACCTAGCCTTGAGTATCACTGGCAAGATTTTTGCATGAGCAGGAGAGAGGAAATACTGGAGGGGGATGGGAAATAAGAAATAGAGGAAGCAAAAGAGGGAAGGAAGGGAAAAAAAACAAATTTGAGAAGATGTTTGTTGTGGGGTGTGTGTCCTTTCCTATGACCTTGGTCTTCCCCCCCCCCCACTCCAGTTCTAGGGCTGTGAGCAATCAGATAAGACCAGTTCATTGCTGGGGAATACACAGTTGCCCCTTTAACCACATGACTCAGCCTGTGCTAGGAGAGTAATACGTGAATGTAGATTAGAATTGGCCATATATTAGAATGTGTTTGACTTAAGTGGTGGTAATGAAAATTCAGAATTTAAATTTGGAGAGAGTCCTAACACCATCTTTCGTATTTCTTTTCTGCAGATGGCAGTATTTCTATAATATATCTAATATGAGTCCCACATCTTGGCCTCTTATCCAGCTTCAGCAGTCTCAGCGTCACTGGCTAGAGAATAAATGGGATTTGCACAAATTCCAAACAGAACTGAAATACAGACAGCAGTGTTAATATCCTTTTCTTCTGGTTGTTATTAACAGGTACTAACTGACCTCAGCTAGAACATGTTACTGTGCTTCAGATAGGGATACTTCTTAAACGGAGCCATTACTATGCTGAGGAGAAAGTTACTTTTTAAAAAATAGAGTCATTTTAAACATTTAAAAACATAATGGATATGTTTAAATTTTGTAGCATCACTTTTTGTAATGTGAAAAACCATGCCCTAACCTTTCAATTTTGTACATTTAAATTTTTACAAAGTTTGTAGTTGACTGCAATTACAGTCCAACATTTCAACCAAATGAGTCCCTCTTCTCCACGCAGTCTAGTTCTGTAGCCCAGGCTGGCTGCGTATTTTCTGTCATCTTGTCCGGCTCTTTGTCCTGGGATTATAGGCATGTGCTACCATGCTAGACGTTATTTTTCCCCCACTCCCTATTTTTGTTTCGATTAAAGAAAGGTTCTTGTTGTGTATTTTTTCCCATTTAAAGTACCTGAAATTGTACAATTGTTTATGAGGAACTTTTGTTTTATGTACCATTAAACTTCCCCCAACTCTGTGCATTTTCTATTCTTAACTGATTTGCATGATTATCTTCAATTCCTCAGAAAATTAAATGTCGTCAGAAGACCGAGAAGCTCAGGAGGATGAGTTGTTGGCCCTGGCAAGTATTTATGATGGAGATGAATTTAGAAAAGCAGAGTCTGTCCAAGGTGGAGAAACCAGGATCTATTTGGATTTGCCACAAAATTTCAAGATTTTTGTGAGCGGTTAGTTAACAATATTCAGATTTTTCTAAGTAAAAATTTTCAGTTTCTTAGTGTACTCTAACTTATTTGTCATTTTGCGCTTGTAGACATTACTGATGGTTGTATTATAGATTTAATGCATGTTTCTGTTTTAAAGAATGTTAGAATGGGAGGGAAACAGTTTGCAATTTGATTCCGTCTTTTTAGCCTCTAAATTTTGGGATATTTTACATATTTCATGTGTTCTACTCTAATTAGCAATTTACCAGCCAGGAGTCATTGGTAGTTAGAGATAATCAAAGAAAAATAATGTACATATGTGAAAATTCTTGGACACTCTTAAAGTACCATTTGGTTTTCAGAATCATTTCAGCTACCATAAACAGGTGGCACATGCTGTTACTCTGTGACTTTTTGCTTCAGAAAAAACAAAACTGCTTTTGATACAGTCACAGAAGACCATGATGCACATTTTCTCAGAATGTTTCTACTGAGTGATTATAAAGCACCAAGAACTCTTGCATTCTTCATATATCACTTTTACATGTCATAGATTAATAACAAGCTATTTTTTAAAAAATATTTCTGTTATAATCATTAAATAAACACTTGTGACCATTTAAATGAAACTTTCATTGTGAGAGTGTTGTGTGCTGTGTCATGTCCTCACGATTTTCCCAACTTTGATTCATGGGTAGTTGGCACATACTGGTCTAAGTAAGTCATTGTTGGTTGATGAAAATAAACATCTTTCTCTCTAGATTGTGTCTTTAATCATCTATAAATCAACAACAGAACAAAACATTGCGTATTACTTGGTCATTAGTGTTAGGAGTTATACTAAGAAGTGTATTTGAGAATAAATTGTCTGCATTATGCATTTCATGGTGGTTGGTAGATTTTTCAAGGGCTTACAAGATTTTTTATTTTTAAGGTGGTAGAAAGTGCTTTGGGGGAGGGTTTTTATCCCCTCCCCTAAAACATTAAGTCTTTCCTGAGCACTGCTTAACAGTAATGGACACTCAAGTGTTGATCAACTGATCCTTTCTGATCTTTGTTTTTGGTTCAGGCAATTCAAATGAGTGTCTCCAGAATAGTGACTTTGAATACACCATTGGCTTTCTGCCTCCACTTGTGCTGAACTTTGAACTGCCACCAGATTATCCATCCTCCTCCCCACCTTCATTCACACTTAGTGGCAAATGGCTGTCACCAACTCAGGTAGACCCAAAAACTTAATTTTTCCTATCCATTTGTAGAAGCTTACAAAGTCATCTTTAATTGAAGACTACCTTGGTGATCTTGAATTTGGTGCATGAAGAACAAATGACTTTGATTTCCCTTGCCTTCATGAATCCTAATGTTAATGAATTGAAATGCTTGGTGTTTTAAAAAGGAATGGCGGTAACTGAAATGACTAATCATTATGAATTGCAGTAGTAGTAATTTTTAATCAAGTGTATTTCTTGTTGTACTATTTTCCATTTAATCTGCATTGTAATGGAGACTATGAGGTCTTTGTTATCCTTAGATATTGATACTGCTTTTTTTTCTTAGTTTCTAATCCATTCTTTAAAGATTTCATTGTAATTAGAACTGAAAATTAACCCAATATAGCTATAATAAGCATATATCCTGAGTAAATGTGATAAGTGCTTTTCTTCATAGAAATCTACATTTCTTATAGATACCACATTAAGTTTTGACACCTTATATTGAGAGCCTTTATTCTCTCTGGATTATATATCCTTTTCTAGTAACAACTTCAACTCTTTTTTTCTTAACATGTAATAATTGCACATGATAAATCATACATGTTTAATTGTATAGACATTCAGTAAATGTATATAGTGTATTCTGATAAAATCAGAGTAATTAGCATTTCCATCTCCTTATTTATGTTTGGGCTTTCAAGTGCCTGTCTCAGCCTCAACTCTTGATTGAGACATAAATATGACTTGAAGCTAGTGTAAAGTAATCTAGGATGTAGTGGATCAATAGCTACTTTTCTACAAGTCATTATAAGATTGACAAACTGATATGTATTAAGATAAGCTGTCAGAGTTATTGACTTAAGGAAATAGCTTGTTAATTTTTCCTTTTTAATTATATAGTTTGATTTTTTATTACTTATTTTTGGAGACAGGGTCTTGCTATGTTGCCCAGCTGCCCTTGAACTCATGATTCCCTTGTCTTAGCCTTCTAAATGCTGGGATTACAAGTAATACATATAGGCATTCCCCACCACACCTGGCTTAATCATATAGTTTTTATTCTTCTACCCAGTAGCTAATCTTTTAGATAAAAGTGCTTTATGTAAAATTAAGATTATGGTTTAAAAAGGAAATTAAATTCTGGAAGAGTGTAATACATGTAGAATAGAGAGGAATGTTGTTCTTTTTATGGTAGTATCTGTGACAGAGACAATAGATGCAAGGCAGCTGATTATTTGCCCAGGAAAATCAAGAGTGTTTTACATTTAGATCACTCATTGTTGACTAAATATTTAAATATTTATAGCTCCATTTGTCCATGGAGCTCTTGATATTTTGTACTGTGCATGTATGCATGCACACACATGCACAAAACAGACAGAGTCACTGGATGTGTGGTTATAGTTTCTAGCATCTACTTAATCCTGCTCTTTGGGGAGCGCAGGGAAGGAGGGTTCATTATTTTGTTTTACAGCTGAATTTACAGTAGGATTCTTTCATATTCTTATGCATATATACTTGACTTTTTTTTTTTTTTTTTTTTTTGTGGTACTGGGAGTTGAACTCAGGGCCTTGCCCTTGCTAGGCAGGTGCTCTACCACTTAGTCATGCTCCCAGTCATTTTTGCTTTGGTTATTTTTGAGCTAGGGTCTCAAGTTTATGCCTACTCAGGCCTGGACCTCAGTCCTCATATTTATACTTCCCACCTAGCTGGGATGATAGGCACGCACCACCATGCCTAGCCTGGTTCCAAGATTCTCCCATTCTCTACCACCTGAGTAGTTAAGATTACAGGTATGAGCCACTGCACCCAGTTTATAAGTAACATTTTAATTGGTCTCTTTTGTTTCTCCTTGGCTCAGTTCTTGTTTGTTGCTGTATCCTGATTCTATGGCATTGTAAATTTCACCTGTTGATAGTGAAATTGACACAGAATCTGTCATTCACTGAATTGGGGTGGGTAATAGGATCTGGGAAGTGGGTTTAGTTTTCTAGTGTTTTCTGTATTCCTTCCCTACATACACTATAGCTATCTTGCCCTTTCCTCTGTCTTCCCCTCCCCTTTTTACATTTACATGCATCTCTGCTGCCCCTTTTTAGAAGGGACTGGAGAAAAGAGGTTGGAAGAGAATGGCTTCTTCATTGGATTTGGTGGCTTATACAATAGGCAAAGCTTCCCTTTTAAGTATTTATCACATTTACAGATGTTAGCAGGTTTCTCAAAAGCATGATTGATATTATAAGCATTAATGCATTTACGAATTAAAGTGAAAAAAGCATTAGTTGTCAATCTTGTCAATAAGTATTTAAGTTAGTAGCTGTGCAAGGTTTAATCAGTATTACACAGAACAAAGAAAATGTGGTCTTTTTTCATTTGTTATTTAAATTAACAAAATTTGCCATCTGGAAGGCTTATTTTTGGTTGTTTACCTAAAAAAAGAAAAGAAGCTTATAATTCCTAAGCTCTACTTGCAAGTATTTTACATTTCTAATAGAAAATCCTCTTATATTTGCCTTTCAGATGAAACAGACCACTTTCAAAAGAAAGAATCATCATAATTTAACTTTGCTTGCTTAGTTTAGAAATTGTAAGCTTTCTCTGTGGCAGCCAAACCGTGAGGGCTTGCACTTATGTCCAGGCTCAGTATCATTCTGCTTCAGTCTGTTAATCAGGATCTGATGTAAGCCAAGACTCTCTAATAAAAAGTAGCTTGTAAATCTCAAAAATAAGGGCTCTGAGGTTAAATTCTGCCACTTAGCTGAGTTGGCTGTTTGATAGAACAGAAAGTTAAAATTAACTTTAAAACTTGGGTGGTATTTTTATTTTTTGTTTAAATTTATTTGTATTTCATGCATAAACATTTACATATTTATGGGGTGTGTGACGTTTTGATACATGTGTACATTGTATAATATTTAAGATTGGACAACTAATGCTTTTCAGTCAGAAAAAACATGCCGACTTAGTCAAACATTTTGTCATTTTTTTTATGGTGAAAGTATTCAAAATTCTTTTTTTTTTTTTTTTTCAGGTTTCTTTTTTTCCTTCTAGTTTTTTGAAATATACAGTATATAGTTGTTTTTATACTGTAATAGCACACCAGAACTTCTCACTCCTATCTGACTATAACTTAGTACCCACTGATCAACCTTTTCCTATCCCTCTCTCCCTGCTACTCCCCCAGCTTCTGGTAACCACCATTTTACTCTCAGCTTCTGGGAGATTAACTTTTAGTTTATTATTATTTTTGGTGGTACTGGGGTTTGAACTCAGGTTTGAACTTGTGCTTGTAGGAAATGCTGTGCCATTTAAGCCACACCTCTAGTCCTTTTTGCTTTAGTTTATTTTCCAGATAGGTTCTCATCTTTTTGCCTAGGACATGCCTCAGATTGTAGTTCTGTCTCTGTTTCTCCCATACCCACATACCTGGAATTAGAGGAGTGTGCCACCAAACCTAATCCTGAATTCTTTTATTTATTTATTTATTTTTGTGGTATGAGAGTTTGAGCTTAGAGCCTTGTGCTTGCTAGGCAGGTGCTGTACCCCTTGAGCCATGCACCTGTCCCTGAGTTAACTTTTTTATATTCCACATATGAGCAAGGTCATGTGATACTTGTCTTTCTGTACCTGGCATTTTTCACTTAACATAATGATTTCTGGTTCCATTCATTTGTTGAAAAGGACTAGATTTCATCATTTTTTATGTGTATCACATTATCCATTCACTTGTTTATGGAAATTTAGGTTTTTTGCATTTCTTGACAATAATAAATAGTGCTGTAATAAACACAGGAGGAATGATGTTTCCTTGACATACTGATGTCATTTTCTTTGGATATATACCAAATATATCCATAGTAGGTAGGATAGCTAGGTCATATTGTAATTGTTCTTAATTTTTTGAGGAACCTCCATATTGTTTTCCATAGTGGCTATACCAATTTATATTCCCACCAGCAATGTACAAATGTTCTTTTTCTGTACATCATTGCCAGCACTTGTCTTTTTGATTATAACCATTCTTACTGAAATGAGGTGATACCTTATTGTGGCTTTAATTTTACGTTTTTCTGATTAGTGATGTTGAGCATTTTCGCCTGTGCCTTGTTGGCCATATGTAAATCTTCTGCTGAGAAATATCTGTTAGGTCTGTTTCCCCTTTGTTTTGAGGGGTATGGGTGCTGGGCATTGAACCTAGGGTCTCTCACATGCTAGGTAAACATTCCTGCTGAGATACACTCCCCAGTCCCTTATTACCCATTATAAAATCAGATTATTTGGGGTTTTTTTTTGCTACTGAGTCTTTGGAGTTCCTTATGTATTCTAGATATTAACCCCTTGACAGATGTGTACATTGCAAGTATTTTCTCCCATTTTGTAGGTCGTCTCTCTCTGCACTTGGTTGTTTCCTTTGCAGTGTAGAAGCTTTTTAGTTTGATATAATTCCATTTGTCTGTTTTTGCTTCCTGTTTCCTATGCCTTTGGAATGGGGTCCAAAAAAATCTGTGCCCATTCCATTGTCCAAGCATTTCTCTTGTGTTTTCTTACAGTTGTTTCATAATTTCAGGTTACATTTAAGCTTTTAATCCATTTTGAGTTGATTTTTGTAAATGATGAAAGATAGGGGTCTAGTTTCATTCTTCTACATGTGAATATTTGGAAAGACTGTCCTTTCTTGGATTTGTTTGTTTTTTCTCAAAGTGCTAGGAATGGAACCCTAAGGCCTTTTGCATGGAAAGCAAGCACTCTACCTACCACTTAGCTACATCCCCAGCTCCAGATGGTATTTTTAAGCTCTCCTTTTTCTAACCATCAATCCAGGGCAAATACAGAGCTAGGACTCCCAAAGGAAAATGAAGTAGTTCATTGTAGAACTAGATCTTTCTCTCATTCATGAAATAGAGAACAATACTAAAAGAAGAAACAACAAAGTCTTCTTGAAATCAGCTTAAATGTAAGTCTAGGTCTGCATCTTTACGGAGTTTTAACATTTCTCCTGTTTTCATGGTACTTATAGCTTCTAACCTCATATTCTACTCTGGCTGAATATGTTGCTCTGTTGCTGAATAGCTTAAGAAATGCTTTGATGGAATGTTGATACTTTTTCATAGCACAGTTTATCACAGTAGAAAAAATAGCATTAGAAAATATAAGGGACTAACTTACAAGTTAAAAAGACTCTGAGGAAGATCAGGAATTGGTAGCATCATCATCTTCCCAAACTCACAGCATCCTCATGTGCTTTCTCCTAGCTCTCTGCTCTCTGCAAGCACTTAGACAACCTATGGGAAGAACACCGAGGCAGTGTGGTCCTGTTTGCTTGGATGCAGTTTCTTAAGGAAGAGACCCTAGCATACCTAAATATTGTGTCTCCTTTTGAGCTCAAGATGGATTCTCAGAAAAAAGTGCAGAGAAGGACCACTCAAGCCTCTTCCAACACAGAGCTGGATTTTGGAGGAGCTGCTGGATCTGATGTAGATCAAGAGGACATTGTGGATGAGAGAGCTGTGCAGGATGTGGAATCATTGTCAAGTCTGATCCAAGAAATCTTGGACTTTGATCAAGCTCAGCAGATGAAATGCTTTAATAGTAAATTGTTCCTGTGCAATATCTGTTTCTGTGAGAAACTGGGTAGTGAATGCATGTACTTCTTGGAGTGCAGGCATGTGTATTGCAAAGCCTGTCTGAAGGACTACTTTGAAATCCAGATCAAAGATGGTCAAGTTCAATGCCTCAACTGCCCAGAACCAAAGTGTTCTTCTGTGGCCACTCCTGGTCAGGTAATTTTTCTCTGTTCATCATTGCCTCCTAATTCTCTTTCACAAAAGGAGGCATATTCCCAGGAACTTCTTTTTTTGGGGGGACAGTGTCCCACTTTGGAGCCCACACTGAACTTGAATTTCTGATTCTTCTAGCTCTGCTTCCCAAGTGCTGGGATTGCAGGCATGTACTATTCTGCCCACCACAGGAATTTTTAAATACTTATTTATTGCAGCACTAAGGATCAAACCCAGGGCTTCACATGCTGGGCAAGTGTTACACTATCACACCTCTACATAGGGCTCATGGAGCGATCTAAGGCACTGGAGTCAGACTATAAGTTGTTTTACTGTATCCATTAAGAATGCTACAGTTTTAGGCTGGAGATGTAGCTCAAGTGATAGAGAACCTGCCTAGGAAGCACAAGGCCCTGAGTTCAAATGCCAGTACTCCCCCTTATACCCTCCTCCCCCACCCAAAAAAAAGCTGTGGTCTTATCCTAAACCATTTAAGCAAATGTAAATTTTTCCTTTGCTAACTTTGAGCAGTTCTAGACAAGGAGGAGTGTTTTTAAAAAGTAATTCTGATGATTTATTTTGTTTATCTGTTAGGATCCCATCAGCCTTGGGGAATAATTAGCTTTTCTTGGTGTAAGGATGGCATTTGAAGGGGACATCTCTTAAAATGATTAACTGAATCATTTACAGATGTTAGCATAACTACAGCCTACTTGTTTTTTAAGTCAGCTTTATTAAGACATAATTTTACTTACCATAAACTAACCAATTTAAATTATAGTTTGATTTTGTGTGTATGTGTGGCAGTACTGGGGTTTGAACTCAGGGCCTCCTGCTTGCTAGATAGACCCTCTACCACTTGAGCCGCTCTGCCAGCCCTAGTTTGCTTAGTTTTGACACGTATATAGACTCATGCAACCACACTCAGTCAAGATACAGACTGTCACCATACTTGGTTTGATTCTGAAGTGAGACAGATTTTTTAATTTTGTGCCCATCTGTTTTACAATAGCATCCTAAGAATTCCTTCAGGATTAGAACTGGCTGTGAATCATTAGATCTATGGTGTTTGTAATTCCTTCCAGGTCAAAGAGCTAGTGGAAGCAGAGTTATTTGCTCGATATGACCGCCTTCTCCTCCAGTCTACCTTGGACCTGATGGCAGATGTGGTATACTGTCCCCGCCCATGCTGCCAGCTGCCTGTGATGCAGGAGCCTGGTTGTACCATGGGCATCTGCTCCAGCTGCAATTTTGCTTTCTGTACCTTGTGCAGATTGACTTACCATGGGGTCTCTCCATGTAAGGTGACTGCAGGTACGTTGTAATTGTGTAAACTCAAACCATATCTATTAGCCCTCCCTCACCAAATCCCTATTACTTCAGTTCATAAATTTAGAAGTATTTATTCAACAGATATTTTTGTGTTAGCTACTATACTGGTCTCTGGGAATATAGCATTGAACAGGAGAGATAAAATCTCTGCCCTGTGGAACTTACAGTCTAGTGGGGATGGCAGGCAAATAAAAGAAATACAGATATTAGGTGATGGTAAATGCTAAGGAGGAAAAATAAATAAAATAGAGGCAAGATGTGAAATACTGAGAGGGAGAGGACTTGGGACTTTAGTTAGGCAAACTGGGAGAGGTCTTACTGGCAGAATGGTTTAAAGACTTGAGGGAAATAAGGAAAACCAATCAGAAACAGGAGGTGGGCAGCATTCCAGGAATGGCAAATTAATTTCTACATACGAACACAGAATAGTTTAGATCCTTTATGACAAATGTGAGGCATCTAACTCTTGTTTCCTTGGCACATAGTCTGATCAGTCATCAAATGCTTTCTCACTGAGCCCAGCAAAGCTTCAGAATCTCCCTCACCATGGTGCTTCAGAAGTAAATGGTTGCCTGTCCCATTTGAGTAAAGTGGTAGCAATAGGAACCAGATGAAGAGTATCAAAGAGAAAAGTGGGAAGAATTTTTTAGTGCCTATAACAAACTGTAATATAGGATGAGGGTGTATTTGGTAAGCCTTATTCATTATCAAATGATGAATAATGCTGACTTAGTGGAAAATCAGTCTTTTCAACCTTTGTGTCTATTTATTTTGTTTATTTTTATGTGTGATACTAGGAATTGAACCCAGGGTCTTGTGCATGCTAGGCAGGTGCTCGATCACTGAGCTACAGTCCTAGCCCCTTTGTGTCTTTTAGACCAGTCTTTAACAGTTTGCTGCCAATTGCATAAGCATATCAACATTAAAAAATCAAAATCAAAGAAAAGAACCTTCTACTACCTTTAGCAAGTCCAACTTTTCTGATTGGGGAATTCCTTTCCCTTCTTTGTCATTTGTGTACTTTTTTCCTGAATCCCATGGTAAGTGTTTTGATGGTATCCATCCTAATTTAAGTTTCTAATAACTAAATAGCATGTCATTAAGTCGATTTTCCACACATAATTATTTCCTTGGAAATTTAATTTATTTGTCATTGTTAAATGCATCTCCATGCAGATGACTTTAAAGTTATTTCCTTCTGCTAAAGTCCCAGGAATAGCATTATTGAGTGGTAAAAGAGTATGGCTGTTTTTAAAGACTTTTAGTCAGCCATCGCAAAGCTACAGAGTTAATTTTTGTTTTCACTTCCTAGAAAAATTAATTGACTTACGAAATGAGTATCTGCAAGCAGATGAAGCCAATAAAAGATTTTTGGAACAGAGGTATGGTAAGAGGGTGATTCAGAAGGCTCTGGAAGAGATGGAAAGTAAGGAGTGGCTGGAAAAGAATTCAAAGAGCTGCCCCTGTTGTGGGACTCCCATAGAGGTGAATGTTTTGGAACAGACTTGGCAAAGAGATTTGAATGCATGTCATGATTACCTTAAGAGGCCTACTAGTAAATTTTAGGACTTTTTAAGAAAACACATTTTGGTATTTATATGGTACTATTTATTTTGGGACTTGGAAAATACAAATTTCACTACTAAATGTTGTTGACCTTACATATATATAGACTTTTCAAAGTTTTTTTGTACAGAGACAATCGTTTTCACATCATAGCCATTTTAGAATTGAGTAGATTATGTGTTATTTCAGTCCATGGCTCTGGTCCAAGATTGAGGGGCCACATTTACTGATGGCCTTCTTGCCGGCAGTCCTGAGGCAGTGCAGAGCATCACATAGACACAAGGAGTGTGTATGTGCATCTCCTCTGTTCTGTCTCTGACTCTCTTCTTATAAGGTCATTAGCATCTAACTGTAGGGGCTGTACTCTGATGACTTTCTCCAATTCTAATCTCCTCCCAAAGGTCCCACCATAGTTGAATTAGTTTCTAAACACCATAGTTGAATTAGTTTCTACCTTCTTAATACCTCACAATGAAGATTAAACTCCCACATAAGTTTCTGAGGAGACAAACTATATTCAAACCATAGCAGGTTAGGGGAGAGCACACTTGAGCTACAATCAACTCTTAATTCCTGTGTGTGATAACAAAAATCATATCTGACCTCTTAGAACTATTTATCTGAAAAGAAATACATCTCTTAATGAGTATACACTCAGGAAGTGGAGACATTTTTCCATTTTCTGAGCCAAATAATTAAACAAGTCTATTTCTTCTTGCTAAAACCTTAACATATTTTCAGAATATGTCCTTGCATTTGATTCTACTTTTCCAGTGTGTTATATTTGAACTGAACCTGGAGGTGATGCCTCAGTTACTCTGTTAAGGAGACTGCATTGTATTTGGCCACTGCCTTAGCCCTGCAATAAAATGAAGGCCTTGATACCAAATATTTATGTAGACTTATATAAAATTTTAAAATGCAAACATTTTAATATTAATCTAAAGTACGTGATTTAGCCATGTGCTTGATTTGTATCTGTTTATCAGAAGAGGCTTTTCTAAGTGTCTAGTTATAGGAACACCTGCTAAATATTTTCTTATTTTAATTGTAATGCAAAGTAATAAGCATTAAATAGTTGCCAATGTGTTGCTGGTATGTCTCCATCTTGCATGAGGAAAGGGAGAAGACTAGGAGAATGCTATTTTGAATCTTTTTGGCATGTGCATTTCTCTTAATTTTACAGCCTTGATATTTTTCTCTTTTCTGTCCTTTCCACCAGAAATTAGATGGATGCAACAAGATGACGTGTACTGGCTGTATGCAGTATTTTTGCTGGATTTGCATGGGTTCTCTCTCTAGGGCAAACCCTTACAAACATTTCACTGATCCAGATTCCCCATGTTTTAACAGGTGTGTATATGTAGAATTCCCTAAACTCAGTAACAATTTTTGATACTTGATTTTTGGATTAAAACCCAGTTTTTTCTAAAGTACTTAGACTTACTTAGAGAGTTCTGTGTTTTTCCACATCTATGAATTTTTGTATTTTCATGAAAACGAATTTTATAATGAGACTATACACTATTTTTTTTTTTCTTTTTTTGGTACTGTGATTTGAACTTAGCCTCACGCTTGCTAGGCAGGTGCTGTACCACTTGAGCCACTCTGCCACCCCTTAAAATTTTTTATGTTACTTATTGGCTTTTTTTGGCTATGTGTAGCCCAAGCTGGCCTTGAACTCAAGATCTTGCTTCTGCCTCAACCTCCCAAGTACTGGGCTTATAGGTATGTGCCACTTTTTCTGGCCTCCTCAACTTTTTGTAGTGGAAAATTTCAAATATACAGAAAATTCAAAAGGATAAAATTATAAACAGTATGAATAAATAATAATACTTTGCTATATTTATTCTCTTTATCTTTTGTGTTAAATACTTGAAGATAAGTTGGAGTTATGATAATACTTCAACTCTAAATACTTCCACACGTCTCCTAAGAAAATAATTCTAGGTGTAGCTCAGTGGGGGAGTGTGTGCTTAGCATGTGGGAGGACCTGGGTTCAGTCCCAGCCCCATGCCCCCTAAAAGAAAATGCTTCTACATAATAACAGTACTTTTAAATAATTAATAATAATGACATACTATCATCTAGTAAACATCATATTTAAAACTTCTGTGGTTATCCCTCAAAATTCCTGTAAAAGTCATTTTATTAAACAAGGATCTGATCAAGTCCAGTTGCTGTAACTGGTTCTGGTTGTTCTGGGCAACCTTATTTGTTTAGGAGAACATAGACTTTTTTGAAGAATCCAGGAAAGCTGTTCTATAAGAAGTTTTATCTTCTAGAGTTTTGTTCCTCTGTGGTGTCTTCTAGCTTGTTTGTCTTCTCTTTTTGTTCTCAAGTGGAAGTTAGGTCTAGACTGAAGTTTTATTAGATTTAGAGTAACTTTTTTTTTGTGGTGGTGGTACCAAGGTTTGAACTTGGGGCCTTATGCTTGTTAGGCAGGTGCTCTTTTTTTGCTTTATTTTTCAGGTAGAGTCCTGAATTTTTGCCTAGGACTGGCCTCAGCCATGATCTTTCTTCTTTTCAGCTGGGAGCACAGGCGTATACCACCATGCATGGCTCATGATTTAGATGGGGTCTGATTTTTCCGTTTTTTGGTGGTACCAGGAGTTGAACTCAGGTCCTGATGCTTGCTACAGGTGCTCTACCATTTGAGTCAAGATGGGGTCTAGATAACTTTTTTTCCAGACTGGCCTTTAACCAAGATCCTCCCAATCTCTGCTTCCTGAGTAGTTTGGATTACAGGCATGAGCCACTGTGCCTAGCTAGAGTAACATTTTTGACAAGGATACTTCAGGAGGGGTGATAAGTATATATATTTTATCACATCAGGAGTCTTATAATGTCAGGCTGTCCCTCTGTTAGTATTCTGTCATTCACCTTATTGTGAAGGTAAGTTTACCATTTTGTTATTAGTAACTAATCAGTAGGGCAATTCCTTGGTGTGATGTGAATATTCTGTTCTCCAGCAGCTCCCCTGTTTTAGCATACCTTGATGATTTCTCTTAATAGGTTTCTATAGAGAACCTACACTCATCACTGTTCTGAAAGTAGATATTGAGGAAATAAGCCCTGTCTGTGAATTATTGGAAACCTAATGTTGGAAATTGCTTAAATTTTAGGTAATATAAGGAAAGGAAGACAAATTGGCAACTGTAAGACATTCTCCCAATGGAAGATGCAAGGACTGTGAAGACAGAAATTGAAAGGATTAGCACAGAATAGAGTTAGTGTCTTGAAAGAGTTCAGCTTCTTCTATGCTGCTTTTGAAGCTTGGTTTATTCCGCAGATTGTATACATTAAGTATCAGTTTGAGGTACCCATATTATTTATCCTTGGTCCCACAATTTGTCTGGATCCTAAAAGGACTGTTCTTACATACTTTAAGGCAGCTTAAGAGGGCCTCAGATTTCAGCCCCCTTCAATGGAATGATTAAAGGAGAAGAAAAGATAAAAATATTATCAGTAGAATGCAGAACGTGTTTTCAAGAGAAGGAAAAACAGATTATGCTCAGTTTTCCAAGTGTATGAATATGTATCTTATTTTATGCTTCCAGGTTATTCCATGCTGTGGACGTTAATGGAGATATTTGGGAAGATGAGATTGAAGACTAGCTAACTTCTGCTCATGATATGGAAGTGGAATGGTTTGCCCTAATCTTCTGTCAAGTACACAAAGTAACCTTACAGGACGTTTAGGGTACCATACATTCATTCCTCCTGTGTAGAAGATAAGGAAGAACAAGGTTTATATTTTCATTTGGTACTACTGATTAAGGCACATTCATACATTTTTTCATGTAACATAAATTGATAAAATAAGCCAAAGGTTCAGAAAGTGAAAACTATAGGATATTAAATTATAATATGCCCAAAGCGCTGCATAATTAAAAGTAAGTATTTATTTTCTTCTCCAAGCTTTAGATAAGGAGAAGGGTCAAGAGTTAAACTTACAGACCAATCTCCAAGAAGCATCCCTCTGAGACATTCTGTTGGCATTCTCTCAGTACTATCCTCACAGTGGGTGTGGGGGAAAGAGTAATAGCCTTATTAACAGGTATTGAGAGCCTGATCTCATTCACTTGTTACTCACATTCCTTCCAACCTCAATTTCTGCTAAGTTAATTCTCTTTGGAGGGAGCCTTTTGCTCTATAACTGGATGGCCCAGTGTCATTTTTATCTATTGCTTTTCAGAATAGAAATTTAAATTAATTTTAGAAGTATTTTTTAATACCACAAATGCTGTTTGGTATGGTTATGAGTGGCATATAGTTCGCTCATTGGTTTTAAGCTAAACCTAGAATTTCATGATACTGGCTCAGAAGAATTGCAGCCCTGACCCAGTCAAAAACTGTTGTTACCCTTTGTTCCTCATGTTCTCTGTGTACCCTCCCTGTCTTCAACAGGGTAAGGACAGTTTTAAAGTTAATTCCATCAGCACATGTTTTTATTTCCTTTGTTGAAATAGGAGAAAGCCTAATATATTCCCAAACTGAACAAGTTTAATTATTTGGTTTTTGAACAAATATACAGCATTGTGGGTCTAGTCCTAACTTTCTGAGTTCTTTTTAAAGGTCTTTTCTAATGAGCTATGGGAATTTGGCTTCTTTTTACTCTTTTTTTGAAACAGCAGTGTTTTGGGTGATAATTTTAGCTTGATACTTAGATTCCTATTTCTGGGTTTTCTTGGCTTTTTGGAAAATTGTCTTTTCTCTTGGTTTAGTAAGTGGCTTGGTAGTCACTTGGTAGACAGTTTTGTAAAAGAGGACATACGAATTCAACTGCAGCTTGTGAACACGTTCTTTCTTTTAACCTTGTCATTGAAAATTAAGGAATCACTTTTAACTGTCAGCAAGGACTCTCTGGATTGTCAATGAGGATGCTTAATCTTAAAAATAAAAGAAATTTAAAAAATCATATTATAATTAGAACAGAGTTACTGCTGTTTGTTTTCTGTCACCAGGGCAACTGATCACATTTTAAAACTATAATTTTTTTTTTTCTGGTTTTGGTACTGGGGATAGGTCCAGGGCTTCAAGCATGCTTGAGCATGCTACCACTGAGCTACACTCCTAGTCATATAACATGTTCTTAAAGTGAAAAAGAAAAAGAGTTCCAGAAGAGCATCTTCTCTTTTACCTGCGCTTGTGACTGAGCCTAGGTTTTAGGACTCATATTTGTTTAAACAAGTTAAGTTAATGGCTTCTATTCAGCACATTTATTTTATTTTGTTGGGACAGGGGTTTTAACTCAAAAGCTTTGTGCTTACAAAGCAGGTGCTCTACTGTTTAAGTCACACCTCTGGTCCTTTTTGCTCTGGTTATTTTGGAGATGAGGTCTCATGAACCATTTGCCCAGGCTGGCCTGAAACCAAGATTCTCCTGATCTCAGCCTCCCAAGTAGCTAGGATTACAGGCTTGAGCCAGTAGTGCCCAGCTCAGCACATTTTATATAAAAGCTGAAGTTAATTTAAGGAATAAGTTGAAATAAGAAATGGAAATTAAATGATTATTTAAATAACCTGAAAAGTGATGTCTGTGCTTGAATAGGAGTTGGGTTGGGATTTTTTTTTTTTCCCCAAAGTAGCCACTGAGAAACTCTAGTTCATGTGCTAGTTGATATTTGCTAGAGATCATTTTATTTTAGCTATGTTCGTTATGCTGATGATGTCATAGAAGTAGGAAGGGAGCCTTTATAAACCATTCTATGAAATAAATGGGGGTTTTTTCATTTATTTTTTTTTTTTGGGGTGGTACTGGCGTCTGAACTCAGGTCTTGCACTTACTAGGCAGGTGTCTGCCACTTGAACCACTCTGCCAGTCCCATCATTTATGATTTAAAAATTCAACACAACTCTTTAGTCACAGAGATTTGTTTATGCAATGAGTGTTTTTCTTTCTTAGCTCATCCATTTTTAAAAAAAACATTTAATTTAGACTATTTTAGGTTTATAGAAAAACTGGGAGATAGTGCAGAGTTCCTGTATATCCCACACCAACTTTCTCACTATTAATACCCTTTATTATATCGTGCATTTATCCCATTAATGAATCAACATTGTTTTAGCCATAGTCCATACTTTATTCAGATTCCTTAGTTTTTCCTTGTGTCCTTTTTCTGGATTCTACCCAGAATACCCCATTATGCATTTTGTCATCAAGTCTCCTTAAATTCTTCTTCCTTGTTCTACATAAGCCCTTATAGACCATTATGCTATTCTGGAGCCCTCTAACATGCTCCTCCTACCCAAGGTCTTTGCCCAGACTGTCCCTATCTGGAATGGGATGGAAGCCGGGGCCTTGTTCCATCCATTTTTATTGTAAGTGTTATTAAATATTCATGTATCTTGATGCTATGGGTAGGTCAGGAGCCAAAAACTTTTGTGGAAGACTAAGTACCTAATCCTAGCAGGCCCAGCAAATCAGTGAAAATTTTTTAAATTGAGGTCTTTTTGTAGCTTTAATAAATCAGTTATTTCTGAGGATATTTCACTGGCTACAATATAGTTTTAGGCTGTTTACTTGTTATGGTCATTCTCCTACTAATCTTCACGAAAAAAATGGTTAAATACTGGACAGCTTGATCAGACTGTCTTGGGGTTAGCAGGACCACACAGTTCTACATTGATGTGAGAGGATTAGCCTGCCAACTCAGCTAAATCCTGAAATGTGCATAATCTCTTCTTGTCAAGAAATGGCAGACAGAAAAGCCACAGATGTCATCTTCCCAGACCTGTAACAGTCATTAGCTCATTTTGTAATAGTAGAGGGCTCTAGTTTACATTAAAAATTCACTAATATACCTGATATTTATTTTTATGTCAAGAGTAGTGAGAGTGAGTTAATCAGGTAAGAATCATGAAGGTATTCATAAAGCTACCTGCTTTGAAAGGGAATTTCAAATTTTTCAGTGGAACTATAAACTTTGATAAGCATCACCAGCAGGTGGCAGCAGTGCCCATGTTATAAAAGAGGATCTGTCTATAGCAGGACTCTGCAGAATTAGACAGGAGGGTGTCTTAGGCCCTGGAGTTCTAGACCAGCCTGGGTGACACAGCAAGACTCTGTCTTAAGAAACAGACAAAAAATAGTAACTGGCTAAGCCACAAGTAGTATTTTGTTACAGAAGCAGATTTAATTCCTGGGATTTTAATTTTCCTCTTTGTGTTTCATTCTAGTGTCTTTTATACCTTGGTAGGCAGAATGTGATGGTACTAGCAAGGCAGGAACAGCAGTATTACCAAAAATTTTTAAGTCCCATAGTTGACATCTTACGCAATTGCTACATAGCAAAATGTCACACGTGATAGTTGCACTTATCTTGAACCACTGATGTAAGGCAATTGAGTTATATATGAAGTACCTACCTAAGTAGGATCAAGGGATTATAACACTGAGGTACCCATGGATACTGGTAAAAGTAGCCAAACAGTCTGCTTCTTAAACTTTAGCTTAATAAATATCAGGTAGCAGACCAGGCAGGAGGTGTTTGATCAGAAAGCTGTGATAGGAACTTTAGGGATGTTCTTACCAAGTGTTTATGGTAATTCCCAACTTTCAATTTAGACTTTGTACCGTTACTCAGTAGGCTGAAGGTTTACTACTTCAAGATTCCTATAGTTCTCTGAGCCAGAGATGCTTTGGAGAAGATTATGTACATTGAAAACTCAGCAGCTTTGGCATCAGAGCCTTACTAAATACAGAGTTGGAACAGTTACTGTTTCTTGTTTGGGTCTCTTCCCCCTTCCCCCCACCTTTCCAAACTAAACTTACGCTAGTTCAACACAATTCCATAGCAGTTTTTAAAATAATTATCTTACTTTCAATCCCATCCCACTTTCTGAAATTTATCCCATTTCCTGGAATAATTCAGTAATTTAACATTTATTGAGTACCTAGCAATGGGTGCTGAGAATGTAGCAGTGAATAAAACAGACAAAAATCTTCCTGCCTTTCTGAAACTTAAACCCTGATGGAAAGAGATAGACTCTAAGCAAACTATATGAGTCATCATGCAGAAAAGTCAGGGAAAGGGTTAGGGAATTGGGAAAGCAGAGCAGTGTTCGAGTTTGAAAGAGTGGGGAAGAACTTCACTGTGATAACATTTAACTAAAGGCTTGGTGGTGTGGGAGTGAACCTGAGAGGAAAGAATTACAGACAGGGACAGCCTAGGCAAAGACCCTTGGGCTAGAAGCATATCAGAGGGCTCTAGGATAGCATGGTAGCCTATAAGGGCTGAAGTAGCCCAAGCAAGGGAGAATAGTAAGAGATGGAGCATGAGCGGGTAGGACTGTGCAGGGCCTTGTGTAAACTGGCTTCTCTGAGGGGGGAGAGCTTGCTTCCTTGGTAATCTCATTCTTTTAGGGTTAGTAAGAGTAGAAACAGACTAGTTAGGCTATTTGTAATAACTCAGATGAGAGCAGCGTGCCAGCGGTTGGAATCTTTAGAATTGGTTCTTTTGTGGTGCTAGGGATGAAGCCAGGACCTTGCACATGCTTGCAAGCATTCTACCACTGAGCTACATCCCTAGTCCAAGATTGGTTAGACTCTACTTACCTCAAGGTAAAACTAATAGGTGCCATTTTTTTTTTGGCGAACTGGGTTAAAACTCAGGCCTAGCACTTGCTAGGCAGGCATTCTACCACTTAAGCCATGCCTGTAGGCCATGGGTAAAACTAATAGAATTGCTGATAGGTTGGTCGTGTAAGAAGAGAAAGTGAGGCATTGGGTATATTTCTAGGTGTTTTTACCAGAGCAGCTGTGGTGGAAAAAACTGCAGACAGTACAGGTTTGTGGGTAAAGATGAGGAATTTAGTTGTGGACAAATAAGTTTGAGATCCCAATGGGAGATGGTAAATAGGCAGTTAGCAATTTAGACTAAAGATATAAATATGGAGACAATGTCTAAATTGTCCTAGAAGCCATGAAATTAGACAAGATTACCAAGGGAGTAATTTCATTTTTCTGTAAAAAAAATATAGCTAAGGTTCAAGGGCTGAGTGTTGGGTCACTTCAAATGCTGAGGCCAAGGAGACGGGGAGTGGCCAGTAAGATAAGAAATCCCAAGTCAGGTGGAATAAAGAGTAATCAGCTGTATAAGGTGCTGCACATGGGGGTCAATAATATGAGTTCTAACAATCCACCTAAGCAATCACGTGAAGGTTACTGGAGGCTTTGACAACTGCTGTCTATGAGTGGAGGGGAGGTGAAAATCTAGAGTTGTTTGAGAAAAATGAGTTATCCTCATAATGGGGGGAAGAGCTGAACAAACTAAACATCAACAATTTTCTTAGATCCATTAGAGAGTTGAGGTCATGAGTTAACAACCATAAAAACTAAAAAGATAGGGAAATACACATCAGCTAACCTAAGGCAGATGCTTCTGGAGCCAGGAATTGGAATTTAAACCAATTAATAGGGACTGAGTGTAAATCAGTTTGAGAATTAAAAAGTGGGAGCTACTCTTAAGGGGCTCTTCACACTTTCTTAGGTTTTACCTCCAGGATCCCACAATGGCAGGAAAATCCTTTTGTGCTCTAGGCAGGGAAGGAGAAAACCATTTTGAAACACATTCGGAGTAGAAGTACCCTAGATGTTCTGTTCTGGAGGCACAAAGGTCTGCCCTCACAGAAAACTACTTTGCTAGATCCTTCTCTTTGTATAGGATTGGATGACTAAAGGCCTCTCTTGACCTTCCTATCTTACATAAGAGAGGAAAGGGAAAAAAGCTAAGAAATCCTTCTGAAGGTCCCAGCCCAAAGGATTCTCACTCTCTGGGGGAAAAATAATCATGAGATTCCAGAACGCTGCTTCTCCCAATACCTACCATATCAATAGGGCTCCTGAATAACTGGATTACCCCTGAGGAGCTGCAAGACAGGCTCTGTTTTAAGGAGTTTCTAGGGAAACCCAAAGACAACAGGAGAGACCCAAACAAGCAAACCCAGGGAAATTGAAGCCCCTGACACCTACAGCCACAGCAAACATTAAACATAGCCTAAATTTAGTCAGATAAACATACAGCCTCACACTAAGGCCTGTTTTACCTCAGTTCCTATTGCCTAATACATCATGTCTGGTTTCCATATTTAAAAAGTGATGGGACATGCCACAAAGGAGAGTAGTTCAGACAAAGCAAGCATCAGAACCAGACTCAGATTGGCCCACATTTTGGAGTTACTGGACTGAGAAATTAATAAGTATAATTAATGTGCAAAAATGAAAAAAGAACAATATGCAAGAATAGTCTGGTAATGTAAGCAAGAGATGGAAACCAAAAAAGAATAAAACATAAATTCTAGAATTAAACATTGTAACAGACGAATACCTCTAATGGGCTCATCAATAGATGACATAGCTGAGATGGAATCAGTGGGCTTGAAACTTCCCAAATTAAATTTAAGATTTCGAAAAAGGAATGGAAAAAAAAAATCCAAGACCTGTGGAGCAACTACAAAAGGTAGAACAATGTATAATGGAATACCAGAAGAACAAAGAATAGAAGGAGAGAGATTAGGGTCAGAGTACAGGTAACTAGAAGTTTTGCCATAAGGAGTCAAGAAAAAGGTTATAAATAGGGGAGGCAAATGGAGTAAAGTTTTGAACTCTCATTTTGCATGCTGATAGAGTGATCTAAGGACAGGACAATTTGATGCTCAAATGAGAGTCTGGGCAGTGTCCTCAAGGAGGCAAGAGAAGATGGGGCCTGGTGTGCAAGTAGATGGTTCAGGCAAGGGGCAGATGAAAGGTGGCAGGGTGACAGCAGGACTGGCATGGGATTATGTGATGGCTGGACCATGCGGACATTTTTTGTTTTTGAAGGTGCTGGGGATTGAACCCAGGGTTTTGTGCATGCCTACTCAAGCACTGTACCACCAAGCTACATGCCTAGCCCATGGGCATTCTTTTCTGATTGCTTCCAAATTCAAGTCATCAGCCAAGAAAAAAGCTGAGATAGAGGCACTAGTGGCTTGAGACCTTATGAATTGGTCTTTGAGACTAAAGGACTAGGTGTGATTACTGATTTTGTATGATTGCAAGATGGTGTCAGGGCTTCTTTGAGGTCCAAATTACTATGTTCTCTTCTGTTTTGGTTGCCTGTTGCATAACTCAGAGACCTGCCACACATGCTTCACTAGCACCTCATCACAGCAAAGACTTTGTTCCTGGAAAAGGCATCAATTTTGCAAAGTTAGATCTCTTCAGTATGCCAACTGTCTAATCCATCATCATGTAATATGCTATTATTTTCCCATGGTATTGTGTATGATCACTACTGTTGGGAGAATTATCAGGTTTATCATTCAACAAATAGCAGTACCTTCCTGGACACTGTTATGGGTGAGATAGAGTAGCATTTAACAAACTGCCTTCATGGAGGTAACATTTATTTGGCAACAAATACCTATCAGACTGTAAATGGCTCTGAGAAAATAGAGCAGGCAGGGAGGATAGGGAATGAGGTTGCTCTTTACACTGGAGGGCCAGGGAAATTTCTGGTGAAAGCTGTTTGAGTAGAGACCTAAAGGAAGAAAGAGTAAACCTTAGAGACAGTGGACAGGCTTTTGTATCCATTCCTACTTTATGAGCAGATGTACTCAATAGAAAAAAGGTGATACCCATTTATGTCAACACCTCCACTTTTTACTAAGTGTAGTGAATACAGTTCTGTACACTTAATATTACCTTTCTCCTTTCTATCAGATTTACTGTTTACAGATTGTTACTGTCAACTGTATTTAACATTTCCTTTTTTTACCAAATTGTCACAGCCTTGCCAGGGGGGAACCCTGCTTAACTGACTGCTTTGTCCTCTCAACACTGCATCAGACATCTTTGAAAGAACCCTTATTTTCTACCAACAAGGTATTTCAGGTCCAACCATGATCCCTATCCCAAAATACATAATTAGCTCCTCTCTAAGAGGGGGGGGGGGGGGGGGAGGGGGGGGGGGGGGGGGGGGGGGGGGGGGGGGGGGGGGGGGGGGGGGGGGGAGGGGGGGGGGGGGGGGGGGGGGGGGGGGGGGGGGGGGGGGGGGGGGGGGGGGGGGGGGGGGGGGGGGGGGGGGGGGGGGGGGGGGGGGGGGGGGGGGGGGGGGGGGGGGGGGGGGGGGGGGGGGGGGGGGGGGGGGGGGGGGGGGGGGGGGGGGGGGGGAGGGGGGGGGGGGGGGGGGGGGGGGGGGGGGGGGGGGGGGGGGGGGGGGGGGGGGGGGGGGGGGGGGGGGGGGGGGGGGGAGGGGGGGGGGGGGGGGGGGGGGGGGGGGGGGGGGGGGGGGGGGGGGGGGGGGGGGGGGGGGGGGGGGGGGGGGGGGGGGGGGGGGGGGGGGGGGGGGGGGGGGGGGGGGGGGGGGGGGGGGGGGGGGGGGGGGGGGGGGGGGGGGGGGGGGGGGGGGGGGGGGGGGGGGGGGGGGGGGGGGGGGGGGGGGGGGGGGGGGGGGGGGGGGGGGGGGGGGGGGGGGGGGGGGGGGGGGGGGGGGGGGGGGGGGGGGGGGGGGGGGGGGGGGGGGGGGGGGGGGGGGGGGGGGGGGGGGGGGGGGGGGGGGGGGGGGGGGGGGGGGGGGGGGGGGGGGGGGGGGGGGGGGGGGGGGGGGGGGGGGGGGGGGGGGGGGGGGGGGGGGGGGGGGGGGGGGGGGGGGGGGGGGGGGGGGGGGGGGGGGGGGGGGGGGGGGGGGGGGGGGGGGGGGGGGGGGGGGGGGGGGGGGGGGGGGGGGGGGGGGGGGGGGGGGGGGGGGGGGGGGGGGGGGGGGGGGGGGGGGGGGGGGGGGGGGGGGGGGGGGGGGGGGGGGGGGGGGGGGGGGGGGGGGGGGGGGGGGGGGGGGGGGGGGGGGGGGGGGGGGGGGGGGGGGGGGGGGGGGGGGGGGGGGGGGGGGGGGGGGGGGGGGGGGGGGGGGGGGGGGGGGGGGGGGGGGGGGGGGGGGGGGGGGGGGGGGGGGGGGGGGGGGGGGGGGGGGGGGGGGGGGGGGGGGGGGGGGGGGGGGGGGGGGGGGGGGGGGGGGGGGGGGGGGGGGGGGGGGGGGGGGGGGGGGGGGGGGGGGGGGGGGGGGGGGGGGGGGGGGGGGGGGGGGGGGGGGGGGGGGGGGGGGGGGGGGGGGGGGGGGGGGGGGGGGGGGGGGGGGGGGGGGGGGGGGGGGGGGGGGGGGGGGGGGGGGGGGGGGGGGGGGGGGGGGGGGGGGGGGGGGGGGGGGGGGGGGGGGGGGGGGGGGGGGGGGGGGGGGGGGGGGGGGGGGGGGGGGGGGGGGGGGGGGGGGGAGCTGACTG